GGGAGTAAGTTGTTCCGCAAGTATATTGAAGGTGTACGCGGCGTTTTGCGCCGCGGACTATACTAATCTAACACCAGAACTGTAAGTTGGACCTTAGGTAAGATGAAGTAGACGACCTCGTAACCACCATTTAAATTTTTGGCAAATTCAAGGAACTTGCAATTTGATAATCGGGTTTTTTCTCCATAAATTACGATAATACAGATTAGAAAAATCTACAGATATAAACCAAAGCACTTCTCAATACAGTAAAATAAAAGTGCATTTAGCATCTATTAAAGTATATTCCACTGTGTATCCTAATTCACCATCCATGAAACCCTAAAACCATGCATACCAAATGCATGTAATCTAGTGGAAAACAGTTAATCATGTCAATGGGTAGATCTTCAAAGGGAGACCTCCCTTTGTGATGGAGCTTCTTAGGGCGGGCTCGAAAGGATTAACTATCCCGCCACTTGCCACTAGAAGTCGGAAATATCATTTGTCTGTTGAAGCTCACCCTTGGTGAAAACACTTGTATGGTTGCCTATTACGTATAGGCGAAAGCATACCTCTCGCATCCAAATGTGCCATTATGCGCTGTTACTTGTTTAACGTATACATTAGCTGGTCAGTCACAGACAATCTGATCCAGAATGACATTCAAAACGCCATGACTTAATCCAGTAGACAGGCCATGCACGAGGAGTTCTTTCAGCTCCGAAACGCAGTCGTTAAGAACCTGTCAATAGGGTCGGGTTTGTTCCAACCCGCGAAGACACCAATAACGAAAGGTTTGGACACGAAGGGGTTGGTAATGCGGCATAATATTGGCCAGACACATCGACGAGACACGCTAAAAAGACGCATTCCATCAATTTGAAGCTGCAGCTACACCTCACGAATGACGTTCCTTTGACGAATACGCAGTTTCCTCATTAGGTCATCACAAAAGCCCAAGTGGACATAGTCACCACAAGTTAGTGACTTTGTAACGCACGTTCGAGGCGTTTGCATTATAGTCTTTGTGTTCTTCGGTACATCTGGGATAGCTGTTCCCTTGAAAGCGCGGATCGTATCAAAAAGCTCCTTAATAGCAGTATGGCGCAACGACCGATGTACGCAAAAATCTCGAAGAGCCTCGATGATTGAATAATAAGGTGCGGGATTGTTGTCATTAACTTCCAGTACGTGTACATCAAGTTCTCTTTTAGAAACTCTTAGTACGTACCGGAAGAAATTTCTGGGGTGAGTACAGGCATCTCCAGTTCAGCGTCTTCAGTTTCAACAACATTCGACGTTGACGGTCGCGTTGCAACTTCATCTCGAAAAGCCTCTTGATAGGCCCGCTTTCTTTGCTGT